TCTTCCTCCTCCTCCTTCTCCTCCTCCTCTTCTTCCTCCTCCTCCTTCTCCTCTTCCTCCTTCTCCTCTTCCTCCTATTCTTCTTCCTCCTCCTCTTCCTCCTTCTCCTCCTCCTCTTCCTCCTATTCTTCTTCCTCCTCCTCTTCCTCCTTCTCCTCCTCCTCTTCCTCCTCTTCTTCTTCCTCCTCCTCTTCCTCCTTCTCCTCCTCCTCTTCCTCCTCTTCTTCTTCCTCCTCCTCTTCCTCCTTCTCCTCCTCCTCTTCCTCCTATTCTTCTTCCTCCTCCTCTTCCTCCTCCTCCTTCTCCTCCTCCTCTTCCTCCCCATCTCCCGCCCCAGCTCCGCCCTCCTGCCCGTCCCCCCCAAACCGAGGTGAGATGCGGGGCCGGGGTTGCACCCCCTGGCAGCAGCAGGGATGGGGGTTTCTCCATTCCCTGGTGTCAGGGATGGCACAGTCTGTTTGGGAGAAGTGAGATCCCTGCACATGCCAAGGACACGGCCCAGGGAGTGAATTGGGCACCGTCTGGGGGTCCCAACACGGAGCAGGATTTGTGGCTGAGATCAGACCCAGCAAAGCCCCTTCTGTGCTGCTCCTGGGGGCACCAGGGCTGCGGATCTGGAGTGGTGTGCCCAGTGCTGGGCCCCTCAGTTCCAGAAGGACAGGGAAGTGCTGGGAAGAGCCCAGGGCAGAGCCCCAGAGATGCTGGAGGGAGGGGAACATCTCCCTGCTGAGGAAAGGCTGAGGGAGCTGGGGCTGTTGGGCTTGGAGAAGAGGAGACTGAGGGGCCACCTCATCCATGGGCACAAATCTGTTCAGGGCAGTGTCAGGAGGACAGAGCCAGGCTTTGTGCAGTGATGTCCAGTGACAGGACAAGGGGCAGTGGGTGCAAACTGGAGCCCAGGAGGTTCCATGGGAATCTCAGGAAGAACTTCTTTGGGGTGAGAGTGCCAGAGCCCTGGGCCAGGCTGCCCAGAGAGGCTGTGGAGTCTCCTTCTCTGGAGACATTCCAACCCCCCTGGCCACGTTCCTGTGTGATGTGCTCTGGGTGCCCCTGCTCTGGCAGGGGGGCTGGGCTGGGGGAATTGTACCTTAAAGGTCAGAATTGTACCTTAAAAGGTAAAAAATGACCTGCTGGAATGGAAGGTGGGAACGGGCAGGAAACTTAGAGGATAATTTGAAGCCTGGGAGAGGCTGGAAACCCTGGAGTGCCCAGAGGGGGGGAACAGGGGAGGGAACATTGGGAATAGAAAATGTTCTTCACCTGACTATGGGTGTGCCTGCTTGTTTAGGTCACTCATCAATCACCCCCAAACCTCCCCCCAG